TTCAAGAGTTAATGGCTTAGAAAATTATATAGGCCTCTAAGAGTCTGCATAATAGGTTTGCCTTTATGGTAAAAAATCATAATGAATTAAAAAAAGGAAAAGCTAGAATGGTTGTCAACTATAAATAACTTAATAGCAAAACTAAATTCAATGGTTACTTTTTGCCACATAAAGAAACTCTAATCAATAGTATTAGGGGAAAGAAAATGTATTTAAAGTTTGATTGTAAATCAAGATTTTGGCAAATTATGCTAATTTATGACATTATCCCACTAACAACCTTTAGTGCCCCTACAAGACATTATGAGTGGTTAGTAATGCCTTTCAGATTAAAAAATGCACCTCAAATATTTCAAAGAAGGATGGATAATGTATTTTCTTCCATCAAAGAAATTTTACCTAATTTATGTAGATGACATACTAATTTTCTTTGATAATGAGAAAGAACATTTATGTCATCTTAAGAAATTTGCATATTTATGCAAGAACCATGGAATATTACTTTTTGAAAAAAAAAAAAAAAGCAGAGATAGAAAAAACCAAAATTGAATTCCTTGGATTAACAATAGATTCCATGGGAATAGAATTACAACCTCACATTAGTGAAAAGATTTCAATGTTTCCAGATAAATTAGAATCTAAAAAAAAAATTCAAAGGTTTCTAGGAATACTCAATTATGTAGAGCAATTTATTCAAAACCTAGCTCAATTAAGACATCCTTTGCAAAAGTTGCTCAGTAAAAAGGAAAATCAACAATGGGAAATTTATCACACTAATCATGTGAAAAGAATAAAAGAATATTGCAAAAACCTTCCTAGGTTATAATTGCTTAAAGAAGATGAAGAGTTAATTTTAGAATGTTATGCTTCAGATTTTTATCGGGAAGCAGCTTTGAAAAATTCTCAAGAAAAAGTTTGTAGATATGCCAGTGGTACATTTAAAGACATAGAAACTAGATATCATTCAAATCATAAAGAGTTATTGGCTATTAAAAATGGAATAAAAAAGTTCAGTTTCTTCTTATTACCAAAATATTTTAAGGTTAGAATTGATAATACTCACGTTAAGGGATTTATTTTTAATAAATTACCTTTAACACCAGAATATAAAAGATTAAATAGATGGCAAACTTTCTTTGTTGAATATGATTTTGAAATTGTACATGTCAAAGGAACTAATAATTGTCTTACAAATTTCTTGAGTAGAGAAGGAGCTAATGGATGCAATCTTGAAACTCCAAAATAAAGGGAAAGACCTTATTCTCAAAGGTTAAGAGATACCCATTGAGGGCAATAGCCAAATAAGAAAAGGCTAAGAAATAATTGATGAAGGCCATAACCTTATGGATGAAGGTCAAGAAAATATTATTAAAGGCCATGAGTTATTAAATAAGGGACAAGATGCCTTTGAAGAGGTCAAAGAGTTGATAATTAATGAGTTTTGGAGTAATTACTACTGTGTCAAATTTGCCCTAAAGAATCTAGCCAGATGACCAAGAAAAGCTCCCAACAAGAGTTAAAAGAAAAATTTGAACAAGATGATCCTTCAGTAGGATTACTTAGAGAAAGTTCAGGGAAGTTTGACTATTATGTCAAATACTCCCCCTTAGAAATATCAGTGTCTCAAGCTGAAAAGCCGGCTATTCAAAATGCCAAAAATCATAACTTTTGACTTGATTACTCAGGAAAAAAAAGAAAAGAAAGTTACAATGAATGACACCTTATCAAAAATGACAATGAATGAAGAATATCTGCAGGAATACTGCAGAGTTTGTAAAATGGCATATTCAATGAAGTCTACTGAGAATTGCTATTCGATCCATGAAGGGATTTATCCCAAAATTAATTTCATGCAGGGTGCAAACCCAAAGGTAATAAAACAGTTATTCAATTACGGTTTTGTAAACTATATTTATCTCTCAAGGGATAATGAAGAAGTTTCAAAACTTCCAGAAGTTATACGCTAAAGAGTGAAAGATTTCAAAATTGGCACCAAAGCTCAAGGGGTAGTATTTTTCAAAATCTACTCTACAGCACCAAAATGGGAAAAATCTCAATATTTCCCCAGTCATCATATAGTTCAAATTGGAATCCAGTCCAAGAAAATCAAGGTAGAAGCGAATGAAGATCAAAATTTTCAAGACTTGGGAGAGTTTCTTTGTAGGATCGAGTTCATCCAACAAAGACGAGCTTTAGGATTTAAGGTTTTACTCCAGACCTTTGACAGAATGATAAAGATGAGGAAGACATGGACATATGGCTTCTCCAAAGAAATTTTGGTAGTATCCACTGGTGCAAGATTAATGACAAGCATCAATTTATTCAAAATAAAGCAGAAAAGAAAGGAAATCTTTGAAAATATGGTCCCAGCTAGTAAAGCAATCCATAATAAACTATGCAAGCTGTTAAAGCATGACAACCATCGTGGTTTCTGCTACAAAAAAGAATCCGCAAAAGGAAAAGTTGAAGCCCCATGTGACGAAGAGATCACCCTCTCAAACAATGAAGAGGATCTCATCATCCTTTGAAGAATCCAATGCAAAAATACATAAGCTCTTGCGTCACTGAAGAAAAAGAAGAGTGTTTGCAAGATTCCATGTAATTTGCTTTAGCAAAAGTTAGAAGCAAGTCTGGATCACCAGACAATAATGTAAACTTTAATCGTTAGCAATGACGGAAGAAAATATTCTAAGGAGCGCTATAAAAAGCCTCCTATAAGCTGTAACAAGTATTGAGCATTTGAATATCCAAATACCTTACCTGAAAGCCTTCTACTATGCATCTGTAAACACCCTTCAAGATGAAAGAGAACTTTCCCTTTCTTTTCTCAGAAATAAAATCATGTTTTAGAATAATTTTTGTGTTTCTATCCTTTTTTATTTCTATCATAAAATAAAATGAGAAGAATCCTAAAGAAATTGAGGTAACAGTGAAGTCACTTATCATGTCCAGATACCCATTACCTAAGTTTGGCATTAAGGGTTGGACGAAGGAAGCATTTGCTTGACTGAAGGTTAGTCCAAAGGATTTTCAGGTAAGATTCTAACTCATTTATTTTATCATGCAGAAGTAAGGTGGGCATGGAAACAACTTTATTATTTTTTAACATTAGATTATTTTTGAGATGAGAAATGATGGGGAAGTAGTATCTGACCTCTTATATTTTGACTCTTATATTTTGAATAGAAAAATTCATTTTATATTAAACCATTATAATTTAAGATACTTGATTTTATTCAAAAAATTATTGTAGATAAGATAGTTTATGAGCAATAATGAGAATATTATAAAAATAAAATAGTAAAATTTTTTTTAAATAAGTAATATTGAAGATTATTATCATCTATCTAAGAATCTCAGAAAGATGAAGTAAACAATTACATATTTAAATGAAGATCTAAAAAGATTAAAAAAGGCCAAGTAAAGATTATCTTTGTTAGTAGTCTAGTAGATCTAATTCTGCGCTTACTGAACTTAACATACCAACTATTTATTAGTTAGTAGTAGTCTAAGTTAAGTTCTGAAAACCCATAAAAAAAATATAGTATCAAAGCCAAGAAATAATAATTTTAAGTATAAGAGCTGTTTTTACAGTAAAAATAAATTTGAAGACTAAAAGATCAAAATAAATACCGTTAAGAGGACTAATTATTCTCTAATAGAATAAAAAAATTTCCGTCAAAGATAAACATACTAGGCGACATTGAAATGAATACGAAAGATAGTAAATAAGATTGGAACAATCTAAAAATAATAAATGAAACTAAAAAAAATATAAAAATTAATAAATAATTTGTTAAATTAAGCCTAATTTTGACCATAAACCATCAACTTTGCATCGAGACTGGTGCGTTGCAACCTAAATATTCGTCTCTGACAAAACTCAAATTTGAGCGGCTGCTACTCATTGTTAGCGAATATATATATTTAGACTAGAATGGGAATGGGGGGTTCCCCACCTTATTAGATTGCATACAACTCTCTACATCTAATATCTATCTATCCATCCATGCTCGGATGAGAAGCACATCTTTCAAGTATAGCACATGCAGCTGTCTCTAGCCGCTACACGGTGACACTGTCACCCCAACACCATCACTTCTTCTGGTGATATATAATAATGAAGGGACTAATCTATGCTCGGCGTGAGTAACATAGCACAAAAGAGAATGCCAAACGTAATATCGCTCGCAACCACAAGGGGTGTCCTGGGAGACGAGAAATTGTCTTTGAATTGCCAGGATGCAAGTTTCTCCAACTCAAACAATAACAAGTTTAAAAAAACCTATCCAACTCCATCCATTTGGTCCCCCAAACTCAGAAGTCCACATACACAGAGTAAGTGGCAATCACAATTGGGAAGAAAACACTCATAATATGATACTCGAAACAGTTCCCACACAGCTTGAGTCTCAGCAGTCACATTTTCATGTTTCCCCAGTAAATTCATACCCCTCTCAATAAATCCTCTAAAGCTAAGACTGACTACAATACCAAACTAACTTTTACCAAAATAAAGAAACAGCATTTCCTTATTACCATTCTGAAACTCTAAACCAAATGCAAACAGAACAGCCAAGGACGCATGTTTCTGATTACAAAAAGTTTCAAAAAAAAAAAAAAAAATCCTACTCTCTCCTGCTTCCTCACACTCCAAAGTCCAAACACAAAATATATAGAGATAAGTACAATAAAAAAATAGTAAACAGTTAGCACCAGGTTTCAACATTTGAATTGCCAGGTTCCTTGAGTAAAAAATATTACATAGCTCAGTAAATTCCTACAGTTGCATCTGATACCAATAATAAATCCTCCAAACAAAGCTAATGACAAACTACAATTCCAATGCAACTTTTGCCAAACTCAATAAAAGAAGCAATATTTCCTAAAAGTTATTCAGAAACTCAACCCAATGAGAACAGAATAGCAGAACTACACCACAAACAATGAAATACAGAACAAGGAACTAATGCAAGATCAAACGTAAAATAAGAAGATATTGAAAAAAGAACCCTTTATTTCAACCAAATAAACTCCACAGGGTTAAATTTTATGTAATCAAGAACATTTCAGGTCCTTCCAACATAAAACAGAACAAAGACCAACATTGATGATGGCTACAATCCATAAGCAACAACTGGAATAATTAAGCATGAACTACTCATCCATTTATTAATTCATGAGAAGAAATCTTAAGACTAAAGGATTTGTTAATCCATGCCTTCCAACTCCCATTTCCCTTCCGAGCAATTGTTGTGTTGGGTTTTTCGTCAACTGCCATCTTCTCTGTCTGTGGCTTCTTGCACAGCATGAAATTCCGAGTCCCTTGTGATCCAATTGTCTCCCATGGAGATAGAGCTGCAATCAATCAAAATAATCAAAAACGTTAGAAACAACTAAAATATAATCTCAAACAGAACGAAAAAGAAATCCAATTTGTAAGAAAAATCAGTCCAGCAAAATATAGAACTTTAATTCTTATATATTCTGAATTAACTTTACAACAAAGTGCTGTACTAAGAACTTACCCTCAGATCCAGCATAGGGGACGTACAGCAGGAAATCATTGAGATTAGAGCCGAGAACAGGAAGCCTCCCCTCACGCGCATAGGATTTCAAAGCGGTGTCAATGATGGCGGCGACAAGGTCCTCCTCGTTCACCAGGAACCGGAGGGGACCTGCGCTACCCAACACGGTGATCGTAATCAAGAGCCTATTGCCCTTGGCGGACTGAGTCTTCTTCTGCTTGTAGAGCAACATCTTCGTTGCGCAAAAAGGAATCGAATTTGAATCGAAGAAATTGAAGGAATAACAACAACACCAAACAAGAAAATCGAATGGCAATAAGAACTGGAGAAAAATTGGATTTTTTTGTTTTTTTTGGGATTCAAACAGAGAAGAATATGACCAAAAAAGAAAAAGAAAAAGAATTGGGGTTATCAGCAGCGGCGGAGATTTGGGTTGTTTAAGGGTCAACACCGAGGCAGCGGTAGTACCAGCCTTCCTTGCAAGAACCAAAGGAGAAAGCGAAGGGTGCAGACACAGGAAGGACAGCGCTCACCCTTACTTGGCAAAGGGAGAGCATGAAATTACTACTACTGTCGATTGGTTCCACCATTCACAATAGCACTGAATCGATCTGGGTTTAACGGAAAAATTGTGAAAAATTTGAGGGATTTCTGAATTCCCACGTCTCCGATTGACTCCTAAAACCGATTAAAGAAGAGGGAGGTAGGAAAACGAAATCGGAGTAGGGATGGATGTAGGGGTTGGGTGATTCCAGTATTTAAAATGGAGGAGAACTGAAATTCAGTTTGGGTTAGGGTTTCTGATTTGATGTTGAGGGGAGTTCGGCGTGTACTCTGTTTGTCTCTTGCGCGTTTCGTTGTACTGCAATTTTTATTTATTTATTTATTTACTCACAAAACCGAACCGATTTCCGTCCCGTTACGTTATTTCATTCCTAAATCAGACTCCCACCAAACCTGCCAGATTCCTTCTCTGGAAACATCTGGTCACCTGAATTTTATTTACTCTTCCTTTACAATTTTAGAAAATTTAAATTTCTTATTTAATCGAATAAAAAATAATAATTATCCTACCCATTCAATCTACCTAACTTTATTTTATATACCGACTTTATTTTATATAAAGAGAGTAAAAATTAGAATGTATTAGTATTTAAAATTTTTGTGTGTTTTTATGAAATTATTTAAATATATTTAATATGTTTTTATATATTAATTTGTTAAAAATATTTAAATAATTTTATAAATAATCTTAATATTTTAATTATTAAGATTTTTTTTTGTACTTTTAATAATGATGAGTTATATAAGAGGGGATAATCCTCATCTTCTCTTAAATCTCTTTCTATCAAATTTAAGGTTCAAATTTAAAATCTTTAATTTGAAATATCAAACTTTTAACCATTAAACCATTTCATTGAGAGATAATTATTAAAATATCTTAATTTTTTACAATCTCATTTTTAATTTAATTCATTTAAATTTTTTTTAAAAATATCATTTAATGCAATTATTGCTATTTTACTTTTGTCTTAAATGATTACAATATATATTATTAAATAAGACAACTTATTTAAATAGTAATTAATTAAACATAAATATA